CCCCCCCCCCCCCACTTGCCCAATTTTGTATGGGATGGTTTAGATATGCATGATCCCAGCTCAGGCAGGGAGTTGGACTAGATGACCTCCAGAGGTCCCTTTGAACCCTAATTTTCGATGATTTGTACCTAGGGGAAAATAAAATCACAATGATTCTAATCTTTCTGGTTCTGAAAAACCTGAAGAGCTAAAGGGCTCTGATTTCACCTAACTCCAAGCAGCTTCTGACAGCTTGACCTGACCCCAACAGTCTTCTAGTTAATTAAAAATCCCAGTTCCTAATTCAGCACAGCAGGCATTCTGCACCCTCTGGAACTTACTTTAGATTGTGGAAGGCAGGCACATCCTATCAACATCTCTTTCTATGGTGTGAACAGCTTAATTTGATTAGGAGTGCAGGGCCCAGTTTTGGCACAGCTCTTCCCCTTTGTGTGATTAAGCATGTGCAGTAGGTCGCACCATTCAGAGAATTCCAGAATGTTGCGAACTCTTGAGCTCATGTGGTCATTTGACCTACTTTGAGGGTATGAGCATGTACGGTGCTTGTGTAGGTTTTGGAGAGAGGAATGTATTCTCCTGGTAAGGTAAACCGAGGGAAATAGTGATTGACAAGTAGGGTAAAGTGTGCAATGGAATGGTAGCATATGCACTGGCATATGATTGGTCGGTGTGAGGATGATGCCTGTTTCTGGGCTATTGGCACATAAAAGCCCATCTCAGAGAGTGAAGAGTGTGCCAGAGAGTGAGTGAGCTTGCCTGGGAGAGTCAATATCCTGCAAGCAGTAAGGTTGGAAGCAGCTATGGATGGCTCTCCCCTTAGCTCAGTATTGAGTGGCTTGTGGATATTGGAAGCATTCACATCTGAGAGTTGGGGCTGACTAAAGGTGTGCAATGTGGGTGAGAGTGCATTTAAGTGCTGCAATTCTTGAAGATGTGTGTATATGTGCACAAAGTATCTGTATGAGGCCTAAGTGTCTGTTTCCCTGTAGGTGGAGCTATGTGCCTTGCTCCCTTGGGCTAAGTGCTAAAAGTCAAAAAGCCCAAGGCTGAATTGATTCAGTCTTTACAGTTTAGTCCAAACTGCAGAGATTAAGTTAAGAAACAATTAGACACACATTCACTTTTAAGTCAGGAAATGCAGCCATATGCCTGCAGTGACTCAGTCCAGATGCAAGGGGGCACTAGAGCATCTCTTTTTGGCACACAGCTAGCATTATCTGTGTATTCATTTCCTCTTCCTGCTGCCCCTGAGGTCTCTGGGATTTGCAGTCCAGAATCACAGCAGAAGGACTCTGCAGGGTTGCTCATCTCTTCCTCTTCCTGCTTCCAGGTACCTCTGGGATGTGTAGTCCACAATCACAGCCAGCAGTAACATTCAGTAAGTTTGGCAGGGCAGCGCAGGTCAGGGCAGTTCTGTACTTGGGGGAAGGGCGGTTTAACCCCCCTCCATAGTCGCAGCCGGGGTTTGTTGGGGGTGGGGGATGTCCTTCCCCCCCCACCTGCAACTCTTCTCTGCTGGAGCAAACAGCACAGCACAGCAAAGCATGCTGGGGGACTGTGATTTAACTAAAACCAGGAAGGAGTCTGGGACAGAAGTTTCATAAACTAGTTTGACCCAAATCAGTCAAGTCTGGTACTACATTCAACCAGTTTTATCTTAAACCAGTTTCAGCCATTTTTAAACTGGTTTATATGCACTGAACTTCTGTTCTGTTACAGATTTTAAACCAGTTTCTGATGGCTTAAACTAGTTTACATGAAACTCCTGTCCCTAGCTTTGGAGATGGCTTGAGAGACAGAGATTGAGCACTGGAGGGCCCAGGGAGGCCAGTGGCTCATCCTGTCAAGTAATTAGAGCAATGTTGATTGTGGTTGTTGTTGTGGTTACTATCATTGTTTTTGTTTGTTGTCCCTTCCCCCATTGGTGTGTGGATCTGGGTTTTTGTTCAGGGATTAAACCAACTGTCATAGGGTCTGATAGATGGCCCACACTATTGCAACCTACTTGTGTTATAAATGTAATGGTTGATTAATCATGCAGTAACAGATCATCGCCTTGGGTGGGCTTGAGGCAGTTGTCCTATTTAAATGAGCCCATGGTCAATAGATTGGCAGCCCTTGTTGTTACAGGGTCTGATCAGGCAGGGAGATCAGAAAGTGTTATCCAGGCAGTGGCCCTTCAAAGTATCATGAGATGATCCCATTTCTCCATGGCAAAGTGATTTGGAGGTGGCCCATCTATTTTACAGGGGAGTTTGTTGAGGAAGGAGATACCAACTCCACCCCCTGAATTTTGAGTTATATGGTATGCCTGACTTCACTGCTGGGCTGTTATAACAACATGGAAGCAGTATGATATAAAAATTCACTGTCACCAGGAGATTCCCTCTATATTTGAGACCTATCAGGCTTCCTTCACCATCAGAGCTGCCCACCTTCTGCTACTGATGGCTGTCATAGCACATTCTCCACAGGCTATGGAACAAGCGTGTTTGTTGCTGCTGCCGTCATCCAGGTTCTCTGAGTATATTCTCTGAACCTCGCCCTCCCTCTTCCAACCTTTTAATTAGTTATTTAAATTGCTTCTTTGAAGGAACAGGAGAGTTGTGAGACTCTTCCCTGTCACAGATCATCAGGTAAGAATCTCTAGTAGGATTAGATACTTGCCTCTGGCCTTCCCAGTGTGGTCTTTAAAAAGGTATTAAGAGGAAAATAAAAATTGCCTCCTCATAACTTGATTCTTCAAAAATGTAGTTAAATATGAGGGACTGAAATGAGTTTATTCCTAACTGTGTCCAGCTTTGATTCCTTACTTCCCTATTCAGACTGAGCAGCTTACAGATGGTAGGCTTCAGTCCTCCCTCAGGCCTCCTTTAAATGGTGTTTACTAAAAGGATCTGCATCATTTCTAAATACTTCTAATTTTTATAGGTGTCATCCATTAAGCATGTATCCATAAGAAAATGAAGAAGAGGCAAAGGACCAAAGAAGAGCTATTGGGGAAATTGGTTAAATGTACTGGAGTATGTGGAGGGTGAGTCCAGTTCTTTTATTTAGCAGGGGGAGGAAGAAGAAATGTATTACAATTAATTATAGATAATATAGAAGGAATGAGGCTGAAGGTATTATCTTGGGCTTTTACAGGGGCTGAGAGAGATTATTTCAATCAGTACAGATACCATGATTGCCTATTTGAATGCTTGGAGAGGAGACGGTGTACTGCTCTGCAACCTTATCAATGAGCCTGTTTTCTAGGGAAGTTTTGCCTCTTCACCTTGGCGTTTTCTATGGAGAAAGTTTCCTATGTCCCGGGGGGGGGGGGGGGGGGGGGGAACATGTTATAAATAGAAACAAACAAAAAAAAATCCTAAGAAACAAGGCTGCAAGAATCTGACCATCAGTGCTACTGGATACCAACCTTATTTAATTATATAAACAGGGAAACAACTAGGTTGCTTAGAATAAGCTGAGCCCTAGTCCATCTGATTTAAGCAAAGGTGGCTGATGCATTTGTATTGCTGACTCAGGATGACTTTCTCTTTGGAGGGACTAGATGCCTCTTCTGCCACAGCCAGTCACCTTGTGGCCTATGCAGTGTGGAGAGCAGATGTAATAGAACTGCCACATGAAGTTATCTATGAGCTTGGCCATGGTAAAAGAACTGCTGGCACCAAATACTAATAATGGTCTTAGACCAGTATCATCACTGAACTGCAACTGACTCCATAGGTGCCAGCTCTTGTTGGCTGCAGGAGAATAATTTGCAAGCAGAAAACATTCATCATTTGCTTTAATGAGGATCAGGCTTCAGGCAACTGAAAATTAGGTGTGTGAAAGTGCAGACTGTAAGGCTTTAATGTTAGAGATTTCCAAAGCAAAGAGTGGCAACTTTTGGACAGCAATATTTAGTAGCTTCTTGGGCAGTAAAGCATTCCCATAATCCCTTGTTTCCATCTGAACATCACATGAATCCTGAGCCTGTGATTTTTATTTTTAAATATAAATAAAAGTCAGCCTAAAATCAGTCAGTCTGAAAAGAGAGTCCTCAAATTAGTCCAATAACCTGAAAAGGTTGACTTTTTGCTGGGTTCTAGGGAGAAGCGTGATTATTGACACTTCTTCAATAAGTTATTGTTTAGATTCTGACTGGACCAGCTGTTCAGTCCAACTTCTGCACATCAGAATGGGTTTTGGAAGGGGGCAGTCAATGTCATAAACCACTCTGGCCTCTAATGTAGAAGAAATTACAATGAAAAATATTTTTTGCTTCTACCCCCCACTACTCTCCCTGTCCTGCTGACTGCTGAGAGGTTTTTAAAAGCCCATCTCCATCATGAGTACATGGTTGGTTTTTACCCTTTGTCAGGCACAAGGGGAGGCAGGGCAGTCTTTTGAATTTCTCAGCAGTCAGCAAGAATAAAGTGGGCATCCTAGTGACAGGCACAATTTTTAGCTTCCTGATAACAATTGGCAGAACGCTGGGAAAAGCTATTAAAAATGAGGTTCGATCACCCAAGTCTATTTTGGCCTATACTTAATGAGATATGTCAGCTAGAATTTACAATAAGTGGCTAATTGTTAATAATAGACTTCCCTAAAACACTCCTATTTTCAGCAGATCTGCACAATGCAGCCCCATGTGCTTGCTCAGTTTTCTAGCGTTAGGTATTTCGGGTCAACTTATTGCAACAATGAAGGACCAGGATGTGACGGGAACAAAAGCATTGTTAACTATATACAGGTGGATGCCATATATAATACTGGACATTTATTGCAGAAGCATTAAAACGATTTTAATGTAACCACCAAGATATGCATATGAACAGTTGATTTTATTATAACTACTGGTTTTCCATTCCCTGTCTGAACTGTTTCCAGAACACAGCCCTACATGGACACAGACTTATGAAGGATAGTTTTGTAAGACACTAACTCATTGTCTAACATAGTCACAAACTTTCTGTATAACCTTGGGCAGCTGCTTAATTTCTTTATACCTCAGTGTTCTATCTAGAGATGTAGACAATAATACTTTCCCAAGTGGCCAGTGTGGTGTGAATATAAATCTATAAGTAGCTGGGACATGCTAACCTCTTATGGTATGTAAACACACAGATAGTGTACACTCACCTCTTACTCTTACCCTGTATAATTACTTGATAAGAATAAGTCTACAGCTCACTTGTACTGCCAGAGAGTAAGATTTCAACATAAATAAGATTGTATGAAATGAATTTTATTAATTGAACAAGTGGCACATTTTATCTGACACTGCTGAGGAACAGAGAAATCTATAACATGGGAAATTTCCAAAAATTGAACTTAAATGAGCTATTCACAGTTTCCCCTGATACATCAAGATGGGACAGACAGTGGAGAAGAAGAGACTGCAAGTAGCCTGAAAAGTATTAGGGTTTTATTTTATCCCTTTGTAATGTCCTAGCACTGTGCAAGAATAAGGATTGGTTTAGAGGCAGCAAGTAAACTGTAATTTTCCTATGGTGATGTTGCTTACTGACCACCGTCCCCATGATCCTGCATGTAGGTCCAATGGCTTATTGCATTTCTGAGGGCCAGATCCAACGATGGACCTGTGTACCTCTAAATTAGGGCCTTGTTCCATGATAATTTTAGGTGGCTCCTGGAGCTCTTAAGACCTGTATTGTCTGCACATTAACACCTGAAACTAGTTTTAAGCACTTGTTACATGGTTCAGATACAGCCACTCCAGAGCATGATTAACTCTGATCTGTGTTTACACTCAGGTTTAGCCACTCTAGGCTACACCTGAGTGTATACACCCCACTTTCCCCACTGGCATGGATTGGACCCACTGCCCTCTTTCCCTGTGCCCCCTCCTTCAGCCCTTCCCAACACCCAAGATCCCTGCTCACTTCCCAGTTCAACCTGGAACAGAGCAGAAGCCTGGCAGCAGCGGCCAGGGCTGGGCAGGCAGGAGAGACAGATGGTGCTGCCAGCCACAAAAAATGGGAGGGAAGCCCAGAATGGGAGCGGGGAGATTCTTACCTTTCAGTCCTCCAGGCTCCTGCTGGCCTGAATATATGACTGCACCAAACTAGAGCTAGCACTAACACTAATCAACATTTGTGCAGGTCACATTATAACATGTAACAAGGCCCTTAGGCACCAGGGCTAGGGACAGACATTCAAAATGCCTGAGCCTGAATTGATTCAATCTTTGCAGGTTAGTCTAACCTGGTTAAGCCAAACTGGTTTGTAACCACACACACATCCCAGAAATGCAGGCACATGCCCACAGTGGCTCAGGTTAGAAGCCAGGGGTTGCTAGAGCAGCCCTCCCTTCCCTTCCATAGTGCTGAGCTGAGGGGGGTATGGCCAGGCCCTGGAAGGACGCTCTGATTAGGGAATGTTCCCCCACCCCCAATTTCTGAGCAGCCAGCAGGGAATCGATAACACAGTGTTTATCACCCCATTAAGAAAACAAAAGAGGGGTATTACCAGCTACCTGTTGATTCTGCCTTTGTCATGTCTGTCATAGCATGGACCCTAGTCAGCATGCAGTCTGCTAGCTACTGCTGAGAGGTGTCTGTGTAAGGCAATCCCTGCTCAGCAAGGATGGGGGAGGGGAGTGGGGGGAGCAAGGGGAAGCCAGGCAGATGCCTGCAGTCTCTGCTCAGCTCCAGCAAGGGAGCAGAGGGGAGGGGTCAGCCCTGCTGTGGAGCAGAGATCCCCACCCAGCCCAGAGATATGCCAAGATTCTGGGGTGTCTGATTTAACTTAAATCAGCAAGGGGGTCTGGGACAGACATTGCATAAACTAGTTTGCCCCATATCATTTAAATCTGATACTACATTCAACCAGGTTTATCTCAAACTGGTTTCAGCCATTTTCAAACTAGTTTATGTGCACTGAACATCTGTTCTGTTGCAGGTTTAAACCCGTTTCTGATGACTTAAACTGGTTTATGTTTAATGTCTGTCCCTAGCCCAGAAGGAATTGAAAGCTCAGGGTTAAGTGCATGGGTCCCTATAACATATATGGAGAAAGTTAGATGCCTCAGAAAGGCACTCCAACAAATCACCCCGATGAGCAGTGAGTGGCCCAGAGCTGGCTAGTAAGAAATGCTGAGCATTGAAGTATTTCTGAACTCCCATTTCTTTCTGGAGCTTAGACATATGACTCAGGCTACAAGAGAATTGCCTTTATCTACTTGGGATGCAGAGCCTATCATCATCTCTCATGGTAAATTCTTAAAATGGTTCTTAAAATCCAGCAGGGGGAATTGGTGCTGCCTGTTTTTTAATTGCTTAGTGATCAGAGTATTCCCACAAGAAATGGGAGGCTTGAGTTTTAGGTCTAGATCAGCCTGTGTAGCGAATAATCAAAGACTCATAGGGCCAGAGGGGCTACGTCCAGACATGAAGGCATGTGCAGTTTGTGGTGCTGCAAACCACACTCGGGGAACACTAAAATGTGCCTCGCACTGCATATTTGCATTGTGGGGCCAAAATTTGCTACTGGGAAATCCTGATAGAAAAAAAAAAGTGCCAGGAAAAAAGCTGCATGGTGCACGCTACAGGAACATACGCCAGGAGACACGGAGGCTTGGTCCTCCAGGGAGATGCTTTAGCTGCCGGCCAGAACATCTCCACTCCTGCAGTTGTGCCCTGGCTCCTCCAGCACGCTGGGAGCCAAGAGGAGCTGGGGAAGGGCAGGTTGCCTGAAGTGGGGCAACTTGTACCTGACCAAAGCGCATGTGCAGGCACATACACTGCTGCAAAAAGTAGCGGCACAAATTTGTGCTACTACTATTTTTGCCACTGCAAGGACACGCCCCTGCACATTTGGACACAGGCCAGGGAGAGCAAGCAAGAGGGAGCATAGCATTGTTGCCTAGTGGTTAGGACACTCATCTCTGGGAGGGGAATCCTGGGTCCTGTTCCCTTCTTCTGTTTTTTGACCAATGGCTGTGTAATGTACATAAAACATTATAGGAGCAAGGATTAGAAACCAGGATTTTTTTCCTACCTCATCCCTGCATCACTCT